ATTTATGTAGATTTTATGAAATAAAACTAGTTCCAACCAAAATTAATACAATTGAGAGAATGAAAGAGGATTGCAGCTTTTTAAGAAAGGTGCATAGGTTTTTGGATGCATGTATATTTTATCATATTCAAATTCTTTATTATACTGATATAGCACATCCATTGAATGAGTTGTTATATAAGGATTATTGATTTAAATGGGAAAAAAAAAGCATATTAAAGTAGTACAAAGATTGAAGAAATTATTGATATCATCTTTAGTGTTGAAAAATATTGATTATAAGTATAATAGACTAGTGATTCTTATAGTAGATACTAGTCTAATTACCATTTGATGGACTATAAATCAAGATGGTTCAAATAGATACAGATTTATAATTTGATTTGGAGCTAAGGTTTTAAATATTTGCCAACGTGGATATTCATAAGTAAAAAGAGAATTATAGGGAGTTATTTTAGTTATAAAAGCTAAAAAAAGATTATTTGATAGAAACAATGATAGTAATAGAAATAAATTATTTGTCTTTACTTAGAATGATTACTAATTTTAGAATATATAATATTATAATATTGAGATGAATTACTTATATCAAATCATTAAATTTGGAGTTTAGGCATGTTACAAAAAAAGACAATATACCAAATATGTTATCTGAAGAAAAATATGATAGAAAAGATGAGATGATTGAGGATATTCATGATGTAGGTAAAAATTTTTATTTCATTTTACAATTGAATAAAGAAGATAAGTTGTTTCATGAAGAAATTTATAAAAGAGAGTTTTTAGATATTGAACATTATTTGAGTATATTAATCAAGCATGCTAATTGGTTGATTAAAAAATTTAAATGAATAAATTATATATATATATATATATATAATTTTATATTACAAGGAGGATTTCTTTGGAAGAGGCCAAAAACAAACATTATAATGCTACAACAAGTGGCAGGTACTAAGGAAGATCAACAAAAACTACACAAAGAGTTTCATGATAGTGTATGGATAGAGCCTAAAGAAATTTGGACTATTTTTGATAAATTAAAGGGACGATATTGATAGAAGAATATATATTGAGATGTAGCTTTGTTTTTAGAAACTTATGTAACTTATAAAATGTATTCAAATTTATAATATTGAGATGGTCTACATACAACATATTCTTTGGCTATTTATTTTAAGTGGTTTATAGATTTGGTTATTATATCAATAGGACTATGGAAAATGAGGTATTTACTTTTGGTTTTAAAATATTTATCAAACCAAGTAAAAGGCTAGATACTAAAAACAAAGTTTATATAGGAAATTTATAGATTTTTGCTTAAAGATGTTATTTGTCACTACGGATGTATAGAAAAGATTACTACAGATCATAGAGAATTGAATGCACATGAAGCTCAGGAATTCTTTAAAAGATGTACAATTAAATTATCATTGATTGTTATTTATAATCCAAAAAGAAATGTAAAGAGTGAACGTAGACATCTACCAATTATAAAAGCCTTAGTTAAAGCTTACAATGGAAGAGTAAAAGAATGGCCTTGACTTCTATCTTATGCATAATAAATTGATCAAACAATACAAAGTTTAGTGACAAGATATATGCTAGTAGAATTCATAATAAGTCAAAAACCTATTATGCTGATTAAAGAACATATGCCAATTTGGAGTATACTACCTTGGGAAGTTGGATTGATTAAAGAAGAATTGTTGGCTACTAAAATTTGATAACTTGTGCAGATTCAAAGAGAGTGAATGTCATATTGAAAGACAACTATATAGTAAAAAAATAATCAAAAATAACTTTTTAATTAATATTTAATCATCTTGGTTCAATAATAAGTCAAGATATTTAAATATGGCTTTTATAAAGGCCTTCTAATTTATTTTCTTGTCTTAATAGCTAATAGATTAAGACTTGGTTAGTAATTTTACCTTTTGGACTATAGAATTTTTTTAGTACATTAGAAAGCAATAAATTTAAAAAAAATATAATAAAAGAGATACATAATTAATATGATTGATACTAAGATTAAGTTGAGGATAAGGTCGGGCTAAAAAATCTCCAAGATAGGTTGGATTGATATCCAAGGATCGACCATTTGTAAGATAAGATCAAAATTAGACCTCTAGCTACTAAAATAGTTGATTAAGACAAATTAAAGAGGGATTTGAAGATCAGTAATTAGAATTTCTGAGCTACTTTTAAGCTTATTTCAAAGGTCTAAGGCTTGTTTTCATAAGGTTTGGAAGGACTTACCAATTATTGTTCAAAATCAAGGTTTGTATTAGTGACTTGGAATTTATATAATATAATTAGGGCTAACACTCTTCGCTAATTTATGCACCTATTGACACATCTATGGTTCAAAATTTGATAATGCTTCACTAATTAGATGTGTGTAAAAATTTATATTAATTTAATAATGAAGTTGGAAGATATTTGGATTTTGATACAAGCAGATATCAAAAGTTGGTAGTTTGGAATCAAGTAGGGCTTTTATGATATCTGAAAATCTACAAGTCAAATTAAAGTAAAATTTGGCATAGTATTAGAGGACTTCAAGATCAAGCTAAAAATTGATATTGAGTTGAAGTTAATGGTTGGAAAAGGAAAAATTACTATTAAAACATCTGCATCAACATTTAAGTTGGCAGCAAAGTAAAATTAGTGTGGTTTTTGGAATTTTTTTTCGTAATTTATAAGCTGGATTGAGCTGAATTTTTCTAAGCATATAGAAGACTTATAGTGGTATTTTTATGTAAAATTTTGCATGAAGTGGATGGTCAAATTAGGAGTTACAACTTACCAAAGCTCACTATTTAGAGCTTACAAAGAAAAATCAAAATTGCTTAAATATCAAAGTAATAATGCAATTAGAATTTATGTATGGTTGAGGTTACTAAGAAAAGTATTTTTGAATACTTTGTATTAGCTTTAAGTAATTTTGAATAGAAATTTGAATTATATTTTTCTTATATGGATAAAACCTATTAGAGTATTTTTGGATATTTATAAAACACAACTTTATCTTCTACAGCCAAGTACCCAGTGTATTTCCAAAGAAAACAATATGTTATACAAGAGTGCTTTACCTTAAAAAGTGATAGTAGGTATGATATCAACACCTTGATTTTGAATGCTTATAACAAGCTTGTGAAGATTTATAATAGTTGCAAATCTATTCTCACTTTTGTTAGAAATAATATCCATAATTTTTCTTTTCATAGACAATCCAAATAAATTCACAAGTCGAATTAAAAGAAAACAATCTATAATCACTAATATCAAATGAATATTTCCACTAAAAGCAATAGTCTATTTTTTTAATGAAAAAAATTAGCATTAAAAAATTAAATTATTGATTTAAATATAGATAATCTACAACCTTTAAAATATAATAATAAAAGTGAGATAATCTTCTTACTTCTAAAAACAAAACAAGAATAATGAATTAGCATCTTTATCAAACTATCAAAGATATGAATCTCAAAGAAAGAAAGAACTTAATATATTCTTATGCCATCAAAAAGTAGATATTCACTCAAAACCAATATAGTATTGAAACTAAAATGGCTATTACCAAAATACAAGAAAACAAGAACATCTTGAAACAAGATTAAAGACTAGAAAGATGTTGACAAAAGTAAAGAAGGCTTCATTCTTGCTTCCATATATACTATATAATTAGGAGCTATGTGGTGATGTTTTATAAGACTTTCAATACATGTTTAATTTTGAAGACACATGTTTTAACTTGCAAGGCAAATTTCTTATTTATATACTACATTGTTAATTGGTACCACAAGCTATCTACACATGCAACACATGGCTACATTATTGGCCAAGTTTTTAATCTACCAATCAACTATGAATATGTATAAAGTCAAATAAGTGTCTATAAAGCTTCTAAGAAGTTTCTCCATAAGATAATATTAAATCTATCCACATCTATCTTCTATCTAGTACTTCTTATCTAAATAAACATATATGTTTGTGACATTAGGAGATATTAATAAAGAAGAATTTAAATAAAAAAATACATAAATAAAATAAGTATGTCACATTTCAAAAAATATATTCTTTATACAAAATTAATTCTTAATTATTTTGTAAATTATAATATCTTATACATGAAGATATTGGTATAATATATGTATGAAAATATCTTCATGTAAACACAACCATCACCTAAGCCTTTTAATGATTACTTTTAAACCCCTAATTTTTGGAAACTCCTCCAATCCAAGATTTCAAATCCAATAATAAAATAATAAATAAATCACATGTATAATGTAGAGAAATGTCTAATGAATTCAATAGATTCCAAAAAGTAAAAAGATAGTTGTGATACCAAATGAGGAGAAAAATTAGGAGAAGAAGAGGCTTCACAGTCTCTTCTTAAATCCCAAGGATCTTTGGGCTTCGGAGGAAAATTAGGGTTTGCGACCCTCACGCTCGGAGCCGCGTGGGGCAGCGCGAGGGCGCGACGGAGGCGGCAAAGCAGCAGCACCGTCACCACGGCGCGATTGGAACAGGCAGGGACGCGATTGAATCAGGCAGGCAAGCAGCCACAAGCACAAGAAGCACAAGGCACAACAACAACAACGACGCTAGTTCTCTGTGCCCAGGCTGTCGTCAGGATCACAGTTACCCGAGGCGACAAGCGAGACCCAGGTTTCGACATGGCTCACCAGCTGGGGTCCCACCATCTCCATCGGTTTGACACGACTTGCCAACGACGACAGGGTTTTCGTGGAATACGCAGGAAGGAAAAAGAGTGGCACTTGCGACAAGTGGGGGACTTCAGTGAGTGCGGTAATTGGTGACCCGACCTTTTCAACGCTACAGTCGCTGGTCGCCTGGGTCCACCACGATCGACGGGCAGGTTCCTCCACGCTGGCGTGCGTTCGGGATTGACTCGGCCGGTTGCTTAGCTGAGCTCGTGGGATAATTGGTTTGTGAAGCTCGTAAGCTGGAAGGGTTTACCTTTTATCTTCGGTAGGGCGATAAGATCTTACCAGCTCACAAACAGCTTTGACATCGCATTGCAGCTGTTGGCCTCGTCCTCAATCTGTTTCTGGTTCAGTCTCGACGCGTGCACTTAGATTTTTGTCCCGCAACATGCTGCCAGAGCCTGACAGGATGAGTGCTTGAGGACAGGATTGTGCATGTTGATGAATTCGAGAAGGCAATTCGTAAGAGTGACTTCCAAGAGTTCTGCCACTGTCGAGTAACGTTGGGCGGTAGACAATTTGCAATTGAGCGGGTCAAATTTTGAGTCTACTAGTTACGTGAATGACGCGTGCCTAATGATGCGGGCTGATGAAGGGAATACGGTGACCCGCCTGCTCTGGACGTGAGCATAGGCTAGTTCAATAAGTCTTGTTCAACACGAAGCATGTTCATAGCACGATCGAAAATTATCAATTGAGGCGTTGTGCAGAGACCACGAAGCGAAGCAGAAGGGTTCACGGAATGCAATCGTGTTGTACATGTCGATAGGTCTGGGACTGGTGTGTAGGTTTGGTTAGGAATGATCCAACAAGGGGAAGTTCTTAGGAACAATTAGGGGCCTGGGCGTGAGAAGGATTGAATATGCGGACGAAGACGGTAGATGGATGGCAGCGCAAGGACCATTTCCGCTTGAGCGTAATGAAGACTATGAAGAATCTGCGTCAAGCGCGTCCGGGGATGATTTTTGGCATGATTTTGCTCACGGGATTAGTATTGATTCACCTGCACCTGCACCTTCGACAAGATTCCTCACAGGGTTTGTGACGCTAAGTCCCTCATTTTCCTCCACCTTTCTCATACCCCTTCCGACGTTTTCTTGCGAAGTGAATCGATTTTCGAACACCTCACAGCCTGTTCCACGTTCTTTTATCCGCTACGTAGGCAAAAATCTCCTGCGGGAACAACCTAGCGATATCGAACGTTTTCGAGCTAGATAGCGCCGGAATTAACAATTATGTATAGCATTATCCTATCTCAGGTTTTCAGTAGAGCACGATCTGGATATGATGGAGCACGCTAATTTTGAGAGTGGATTCGAGGTTCCGATCAATATTTTACTAATCAATTGAAAATGAAACTAAAACAACGCACATATCTGTATTTGTGTCCCTCATGTTTTGGTTGCTGTCTAGAACTTCAGGTGCTTCGTAGATGCACTCTCTGCTTAGATTTGTAACTTAACCCGTCGAATGAGTTAACAGCAACTGCGTTGTTCAATTGGAGGTCAAACGCACTTTAATTCTAGCCCAACAAACTGGGGTTTCCATTCAATTCTACACTATATTTTAGTGAAGAAACTAATGGTCGTTTTACATGTTTTGCTGCACAGCTAGCGAAAACACCGTCAGTGGATACCTGCCAGGCACGGTACGAGACGATCAGATATTTCAGTGCGATCGATCACAATGGCGGACGGACATCTGCAACTTGCGCGGTGACGTTCAACTAGAGATCTGTAACGGCACGAAGGCGTTTGTCCTGTACGCGAATCAAGCTGTCGAAACCACGCAACTTGTTAGGAAGGAGACGACGAAGCCATACTCGCGGAAATGGGAGGAAGATTCGATGAGTTCCGTCAATGAAGTCACGCTGCTCAGGATGCCAGCCTTATCACTTGCAGCTCAAGCCACTAGGCGCCCGTGCGATGTCCGTCACAAGGTGCCGGGCATCGTCTTCAGCACCGCAGGCTACACTGGCAATCTTTACCACGAGTTTAACGACGGCATAATTCCCTTATTTATAACCAGCCAACACCTGCGTCGGGAAGCCGTGCTCATTATTTCGAGCTTTCACAATTGGTGGTATTCGAAATACCGAGAAGTGATAGAACAGATCACCAAATATGAGATCATCGATCTAGAGCGGGACGAACGAGTTCATTGCTTTCCGGAGATCGAAACTGGCTTGCACATCCACGGTGAGTTAAGCATCGACGCAAATCGAATGCCTCTCAAGGAAGGCATTCAAGAGTTCCGTGACATGCTCAATCGAGCCTACAAGCCCGGACCAGAGGATGAACACAAGATTAGAGCTAGATTAAAAAACAAGATAAATCCGCGCTTAACCATCATTGTACGACAAGGGACCAGGAAGCTGCTGAACCTGGACGACGTGATTCACCTGGCGGAGCGCATCGGGTTTAAGGTCCATCTGTTAACGCCGGACCCCACCATGGAGCTGAAGAAGATCTTCTGGTTGCTCAACAACACAGATGTGCTGCTGGGCGTTCATGGGGCCGCCATGACCCACTTTCTATTCATGCGCCCGGGGAGCGTGTTCATCCAGATCGTCCCGCTCGGCACGGACTGGGCCGCGAATGAGTACTTCGGAGAGCCGGTGAGCAAACTGGGGCTCAAGTACATGCCCTACAAGATCCAACCTGATGAGAGCTCTCTCAGTGACATATACAACGCCACGGATCCTGTCTTAGTCGATCCTGATCGCATCACGCAAAGAGGGTGGGGCGATCTGAAGAAGATCTACCTGGAGGCACAAGATGTGCGTCCATCGCTGCATCGCCTGCGGCAAGTTCTGCAACAAGCGAAGCAGGATTGCAGACCTTTGTCTCACGAGAACAACACATCCAGGAAGAGTAGATTCATGAAACACTGAAACTGATCCATCCCCATCATCAGATTCAACACTGCATGAAAAAAATAACGAAACATCTTTTGGAGCTCATTCAACCAACACTGCACAGATCCATCGGAGCAGATCCTACACCTCCGTGATCGAAATCATCTAGATTAGCGTCGCAAGTTCGACTTGGCCATTGTTTAGAAAGCAGAAACCAATTCGACGATGGATCTTTCGTTCTGTGCTCTGCGGCCACGCACTCTGTACCATATCATTGAATTCCATTGAATTTAACCACCATTTTTTCTTCTCCCAATTTGCATCGCTCCCCCTTCGTTTTATCTTTCTCAGAATATGTTTCTTCACTATGTGTTGTTTGTAGAAAAGATTACACTGCATTCAGCACTTTGATTGTTGCTAGAAGAGTTCAACCAGTTCATAACTGCGTAAAATACCATGGTTTGTTTGAAATTTTACTTTAAATTATTGGTAGTGGTTTGCAAAATTTAGGGCTTTTTTGTAATGTTGTTAATTTTTGATGTTGGATATTGTTTTTTTTTTTCTTCTTTGCTTTGCTTTCTTTTAAATAATTCACACGTGTAAACTAATACATGATTGTATTTTTAATTATTTCTTTATTTTTTTATTGGTTTTTAATTTTTTAGTATAATTGAATGTTGATTGACCATGTCCTATCATGTGGTAAACTCATATTATGTTTTTCTAGTTCATTTTATTTGAAATAAATTATGTTTAATAAAAATTTAAAATTATTATTATTATTATGTTTTATGAATGTTTTTACATTGATTCTTATCTAAGTTTTTATTGAAGAAATACAAAAATATAATATAATTAAATGCAAAAGAAACAAGTTTCATTTTTAATAATAGGATTGGATATAAATATAAAATATATATATATATATATATATATATATATATTTATCTGAATTGTTCAAAATTGTGTGTTGGAAAAACTAATAGGGTCATTAGATCTTAGAGTCCACTTTGAAAGATCTATTTTACTAAAGCCTTACGAAAAGTTATATTTTAGAAGCTTTAGATATTAGAAATGGTATAAAGTAAGAAGACATCATGACATAGACCAAATCATTCTTTTATCATGATTCAAAATATAATAACTTAAATCTTGATTGTGAAAATTATATAAATAAATGTATATATATATATATATATATATATTTGTCAATTTTTTTTTTTTATTTATTTGGCTTCTTAAGTTTTTGTATAAATCACATCTTCAAGATGGATCCAATACAAATTGTGAGCGATAATGCTATTTATATTACTTAGAAAAAAATACATTTTACATCATCTATTCTTCTCATGACCTCTAGGCTTCTTTTTTTAATGTCAAAATCTAACTAAGAAAGACTTTTGGATTTTATTATTATAAACTCACAAGGTTATAGCCTCTTGCCTTCTTTCTCAAGCTTAAAGACATTTAAAGGTACATCTTGTCTTGTTGTTTGTTTGTAATATAGCAATTAGATTTTATAAGAGAAAAATTGTACAAAACTATGTAAGTAATATAAAAAATTATATAAGATTTTTTTAAGACTATAAAAGATTCTTTAAAGCTATAATTGATTATAAAAAATAAAATTGATATACAAGATTCACAAAAACTTTTAAAATATTATAATAGAATTTTATTGAAATTCAATTAGATTCTAGAGGTGTCGAAAAGTCTTTATAATTTCTGTATCAAGTAATAGCACATCTAACATTTATAAAAATAGAAGATATATGAATTTAAAATTTATATACCACTATTAATCTAATTAAATAATGTAAGATATATATGAGTATGTATTGATATATATATATATATATATATATATATGGATAATATATCTTGTATATTTAAAGATTTAAAATTAGTTAATTTTAATTAAAATTTAATATAAAGAGATAATAATATTTAAGAATATGAAAAGATAAGACTATTCCCACCTTTGTTGAGAAGAACATTGAAGGTACCAAAATATTTAAGTTGGGCACCAAAATGTTTATGATCTTTATTAAAGATGACTAGATGTTTTTAATTTAATTATCCCTTAGGATAAATTAAAACATTAACATATTTAAATTGATGCTTTCAACTATTAAAAAAAAAACAAAACAAAACAAACAAAACAAACAAACATAAAGTGGTTAAATGAAAAGATAAACAATGTTGTAAGAAAATTAATAGAAATCAAGAAAGTTCTCAAATAATCTTTTTTAATTTTCTTTTTTGATAATTATAATATTGGATTCAAAATAAATGTGAAGGTTTCGCAATAAATTCTATTTTTAAAAAAAAATTCAACTTATTTTCATTTTTATTGATAGTTTTATTTTTTGTTTGCATCTAAATAACTCAAATTAAGTTATAAAACTCATTTACTTTATTACTTTAAAATTATTAACATATTATTCTTTGAATATATAAATTATGAAAAATTACTTCAAACAATATGTCTGATAATATTATTTTATTCTTAATTTGAGATATACAAAATAATACTAATCTTAATATCATTTGAATCTTATATTTCAAACTTTCTAAGATTATATTATTAATGAAACTTCTTCTTATAACCATCATATTTTTTATTAGTGTAGTAGCCATTCAATTCCATCATGACACACAAGGTACCACAATTATTTTTGTCTAGCATTTGTACATGGCTAAAAAATAAAGTTCACTTTAATTTCAAAATATTGCATAATGTCACTATATCCTATGCAATGGCTTTTCATTTATTTATTTATTTTTTGTTTTGTTTTTGCAATAGTTTACTTTTTTTGGTCAATTCAATTCATATAAATTGTATGCCTTATGTACCAAAGCAACACAAGCAACTTGTTACAAAAAGTGAACCTGCAATATTTCCATCAAAGCATAACACATCATTAAATCATAAGCATGCAAAATTGTTGATAAGAAAAAGTAAATATCATCTACATTATCTGCAAGATTTGTTTTAAAATATTCACTACAAAATTCTTCAGGATACTTATTCAAAATCCTAAATCTCCTCTTTAAAAGAGTTTAAGGTAAAAACCCATACATTAGTTTCAAACACTTCAAATTAAATGTAGTATTTTGTATAATGTTTTAAATATCTTTTAAAAAAGATATACTTTGCATAAAATTTTGCTGAAATTTGAAACTTCATCAATTTATCATTAACACATTATTTAACAACAATATCAAACATTTAGAACCAAAACTGTAATAGAAAAATATTACCTGACAGATAAAGCTTGAAGCAAAAACTATGATGTGAATTCTTAACCAGATGCCCCCCTTTACAGCCAAAGTCACTACGCTGAAAAAATAAATAAAAAGTAAAAAAAAAAAACATCTATATCTTCCAGTTGTATTCTTACATTTTATCTCAGCATACATGATAGGCGGACAAAGCAGTTACTTTTGATAGAATCATACTGGAAAGTCTTGCCATTCATTTGGTCAACTCTAAAAGCTTATACAAAAACGAAAAAATAAAAGCTGGGGTCCTTGATCTCACTCCACAAGTGAATCTTCTGGCTGTAGTCCGCTCAAACCATTTATTACAATCGCCTGGACTCAAATTCCAATGCCAATGGAGAAATTTTGCGAAAAGCAGATATATGGTCTTGATCATTCATCGATGCTCCCAGTAAATTCGTTTTAAAAAGAAACAGAACTACAACATCAATTTACAAACCATTGCGTCTAGCTTTTAATGGGTACGTATTTTAACAGGTAAAGCTTGGTCAAGGTGAGCAACCAGGAAGCTTTGTCAACCAAGCTCGATTTAACCTCAACCTCTTCAAATAAAACTGTTGGTAACCATGCCTGAATCATCCATAACAATTGCTGGATGTTTTTTATGAAAGAAAAATATAGAAATATAGAAACAGACTTTTAGTCATCTTCCCCTTTAGAAGGCTTACGATATTGAGTTTCCAACTGTTTAGCAACTATAAGCCCAGTCGTAATGAAAGTTTTCAAATTCGGGATAGTGTAATTCTGCGCAATGTATACACCAGTGAACGCACCAAGCGAGAACGAAAAACTGGTTCTGAAAATCCCCATATTGCTGCAAAGATACCAAGTCTCAGTGCCAATATATTTCGTATTCAGCTTCCTGCACAAAGACAGGCGAAATGCTTAGCAAGCACAAGAGGAAAGATCTTGCCATAACTGTAAATGACAAAAAGCTTTTTAACATGACCATCCATCCCAAAAAGAAAACATAATTCTATCAACTGAACAATTTGGATATCACATAAATACAACCTCACATGACCAGAGTAGTCTCGTCACCACAAATTGTGAAGATCTCAGGTCAGCAAGCGAAAGAGAACTCCTGCATGTTATCCAACCTAAGGCATCTAATTTATCACCCTAGTCACGAAAGACGAAGCTCTAAATATTAATCTGCAATCTCGAGTCATAAATTCTTCACTTCTGCCTGCTAGATCCTGCTAAGTGGCAAAGTCTTGTATGACTCACACAAAGTTCTTAAGCCATGCCTCACATGCTGAAAAATACAGTACCGATCTCCGCACCACGTTCATCAACTATATCCCACTCTAAGCCCAGTGCACATACTTCTACACACTCTGCCACTAATCTGGTGTGTAAAAGAATTCACACACCAGATCCACACATTGCATTCATGAATCATTTTCATGCCCCAGTATCAGGAACAGAAAACAGACCACAGATAAGCAAAAAAAAAAAGATGCGGCAAAGAAATCACCTACTTAGCTCAACTCAAGCCTGTATGCAGATATTTCAATCCAGTTAACCTAGCAACAGTACGCAAAGTCTCTAACCACGGCAAAAGGATTGTTGCATCCCCCAACGCGTCAAGCGTACACACACAAACCTCTACACACCATCAGATTAATCATTCATTCAATTCAGTACAAAAAAAATTTGCAACTGCCCTTCCACCAAATACTGCATTACCAGAATGCAGTATTGGGAAGATCACACGCTTACACTCTTCGATGTCTCTCAAATAAATAATTCATCATTATAATTATCATTATCGATGTGTCATGGTTTATTTATTTATTCATCGAAAAAAGAATAATTAAACACTTTCGAAAAACCGTAGACAACGAACAGTGCAATACCAAAATTGCATACTGCGTACAATCACACGATTCATTGAACAGTCTATACTGCCGAACCCCATTAACTCAGCACGCGCACACCAAACACTCAATTCCCCCATTTCAATACTTCAAAAATAAATTAACACCAATCTCCACGCACGTAATGCAATAACACAAGATGAACAGCCTTCATTTCTACCTACTTAGCGCACAAGCGATCTCCAATCAGAACTCTCCCATCTGCAAGCTCAAAGTGGTCACAAAATCTCAGGATCAAACACAAACACACACACACACACACGGAAAATGCCCGGCAATGCACCCGATTCATTGCCACCGACACTGAATTTGGCCATCTCGTAACCAGAAAAAGGCACCACACCATCACCGTGTCCTGAAATGAAAAGGAAAAGATCAATTCCACAGCCGATTACAGCGAAACCCTAATACCCGAAACACCCGACTCCACGACACGCGAGAAAGACCTTCCAGACACTTTCACAAAAGAAATTTCCCGGAAATTTTAAGCACCGGAACTTGGAAGAAGAGCACGACACTTGTAGCGCGCAGTGCCCCAACGCAAAGCTCTGGATCGATTACACAAACAACGATGAATCGCAGCAGCAGCTGCTCCTCCTCCTCACCACGAAGCTCGCTTCGTAGCACTTTATGAAGGTTGGAGGAGGAGTTGGTGGATGAACGTAATTCGTTGATGCGCGTCACTTTTCTATCGATGACGTGTGATGTCCTCCTGGATTGTCGTAAAATTTAAATATTACGATTTCTTTGGGAAGTTCTTTTTAATGGTCTATTTTCAATTAGTTATAATACACTTGAAAACATTTGTTACATATTTCTTTTGTTCTTTTGTGATTTCTGGAATTGCTTTTGAATTTTATATTGGATAAAGTGAAATACGTTTTAATTTTTATGATATATTGTAGAAAAATTAGGAGCTGAATTCCTTTTTTGAATTTTTATATAAGTTTAGTTAGTTTCTTTTAGGCTCAAGTACAACAAAAAATTAACACAGATATTTTAGAAATAACAACTTTCATACAAAGTTTGTGATAAAGTATGGTTATCTTGATGTAATATCAAGACTAATCAACTTTGTTATAAGTTGGATTATTAAAGACTTGGCCTATTTAATATCAAAAAAGAAATTAATTCAATAACATATCAATTGCAATTACCACTATCAATGAAGATCCATTATGTATTCCATGTGTTTCTTATTGATCTTGATACAAAAATGAATATAGAAAGAAATCTAGATATTCTCAAAAAAGATATATATATATATATATATATATATATTTAAATGCTAAAAAGTAGTTGGAACATTTATAAGTCCAAAAAGCATGACATTATATTCTAAATGGCTATATCTAGTTCAAAACTTAGTCTATTATTCATATCTTTCTTTAGTATGTAGGCTCTTTGTAGATCTATTTTGATATAGATCTTAAATTTATTTAGTTAATAAAAGAGTTCTAATATTAAAGACAAAAGAAAGTAATTTTTGATGGTCAGTTTAATAAGTCCATAATAATCTATACACATTTGTAAAGATAATTTTTTTTTCTTCATGAAGTAGATTGGCACACCTACAAGAGATTTTAAATATTAGATAAAATTAATTTAAAGATTTTTTATCAATTCTTTTTTTAAAGCAAAAATTTTAATCTAGAGGAAGTTTAAAATTTATGATATGGTAGTTGAGTTCCTTCTTAGAGATCAATTGCATAATCACAAGACTAGTATTTTGGAAATACATTAGTAATTGTTTTTCTTAAATACATCTTAGTATTTTTTATATTATTTGGTAATTCTATTGCAATCCTTATTTGAATAAAGACTTAGTGTTGCAATAATCATAAATATGTTCATATCTTTTGTAGCTTGCATAAATGCCTTACTTTATATAAATAAAATTCAAGATAATTTATTGTTCTTAAAATTAAATCTCAAAATAATTTTTTATAATTTCTAATCAAAATCATAATTACATAATTTAAACTAAGAAAGACCAGGTATTATTAGATTTGTAGGAAAATAAATGATATTAGAGATAGTATTGGATATTTAATCTTCTAATGCACTTTTAATAGTTTGGTTTCTTCTATGATGTCTGTAGATGCAAGTAATTGTTTATTGATAATTTCTATTGTAGCTAATTGGATTTTCTTTAAAAGTATCAATTCTTATTGTAATGAAAAGTCTTTGTATATAACACATGTTTAAACTCCAATGCCTAAAAGTGATAAAATTAATAATTTATAATTTAAAGTTATAACAACTGTAAGATTTAGTAGTAGTATAAGACTTATATTTAATCGTCTAGACTTATTCAACTACAAGATTCTTAATACAACTAGACGTCTTTATTTTCCAACTTTTTCATGTTCAAATTTTTATTTCTTATTTTGAATCTTGTTCATTTGATGCAATAGTATTATATCTTATGACTTTTTTTTCCATAATATAAATACAAGATTTTATAATATATATATATATATATATATATATATATATATATTTAAACTTTTGGTATCAATTACTAAAATTGATTTGTATTAATTTAAATAGATTATAGTCTTCATAAATAAGGTTTTGAAAACTTGGAAGTTGTTGTCATGACTTGATTTGTTCTTCTCCAATCAAATCTTTATTCTTCATACCTTTCAAATAGTAAATTGTTATATGCAATGGCTTAAGCAATAACTTATTTTAATAAATCTATTTTTTATTATTAATAATAATTTTTAAATATTATATAATAATTCATAATAAAATTGATTGATAAAGGCTTTATGATTTCCATCTAAAATGTAAGCAAGGTTTTAGAATGTGATAATATAAATGGTAGGTGATTGTAATCTTTATTGTAAAGACTAATGTTTTATTTTGCTACCTTTTCTTAATAGCTTTCTTTGAGTATGGTCACAAATACTTTCAAGAGTAAACTTGAATCAGAAAAAGATATCTGAATCCTTTTCTATTAAAAATGCAAATGAAGAAAGAATACTTATAGATAGAAATATATTTATAAATTTAATTTGAGTAAATCTATAAATATATTAATATATATAATCTTGAATAAAGCTTGACTTATAAAAGTCCTTGAAATTTTGATCTTATGTTGTCAAAATTCTCAAGCATTCTAATCTTTGCATCCTTCAATATCATAGTCATAAGACTTTTTGGATTCACTTGTGAGGTTGATTTACTTGCTTCTTTTTATCTACACAAATTCTTGGAATAGATATTTGATCTTATTGTTAACTTCTTCTATATGAATAAAAATAGTACTTCTATACTTGATATTAGTAATACATGAAATTTCTACACTAAGAATATTCATAAACTTGTGAAGATTTGCAATAGTTGCAAATCTATTCTTACTTCTATTAAGTATAAGACTCATAATTTATTTTTTTCTATCTTTATAATAGATAAATTTAACAAATTTATAAGATTTTTTTAAAAAGTTAATCCATAATATCTGATATCAAATAAAATTTCTAAAAAGATGGATAGTTTATTCTCTTTAAAGAAAGAATAAATGTTAGAAAACAAAAAAATATTAGTTTGAAGGTTGGCAATTTGCTACCTTTAAAACAAAACAATAAAAAAATGGAATGATTTAGTTACTTCAAAAAAAATAAGTATAAAAATTAATACTCTTATTAAATTATCAATAACATGAATCACAACAAAATTTTATAAATAACAATATACTCTTATATTACCAAAAGAGAAGTAGTAGAAAACTAAAAGATGTATATAGAATTGAAATATAAAATGACTAAAAAGACTTGAACCAAGATAAAACATAGAAAAATCATGAATAACAGTAAGAAAGACCTTACTCTTATGTTTGCATATACTATCTATTAAAGAACCATGTGGCAATGTCCTACAAGCCATATGACTTGTATCCAATTTGCAAGATATATGTTTGATTTGTAGTATGAATTCTCAACATATACATGACATTACCAACATATAATATAAGTGGTTAAAAGTGCAACACGTGGCTAACTTGTTGGCTAAGTTATCAACCTATCAATCATTAATAAATACATGTAAAGTCTATCAATAATTTAACATACTTCTACTTCCATCTATATAATTCTACTTATTTTAAGTAAATATACTAGTAAAATATGGCTATTTATTATATACATATATATATATAATATTAATATAAATAAATATATATATATATATATATATATAATTACATATTCTATATTCTTAATACAAATTTTCTGTAATAAATATTTTATACCTTTATATCTAATAAAATTATAACTTAAAATAAAATAATATATTGATAAAAACTTAATTTTTTTATTAAATATAGACATTCAAAGTAATTATTTTTTAAAATAGTCATATTATTAGTATATAATTTTAATGCCTTTATTTGTATATTAAAAATATTTTAAAAAAAGTTTTATTAATGATATAACTCAAAGCTAAAGAAATAACTTTATAATAAATACTATGTCAATATGGTGCCATACATAAAAGTAACTTTAAAAATAAGATCAATCAAAATAGTAAATACAAAGAAGATAACTCTACCAAGTAATTTATTACTATCCAATTGTCTTTTTGAGCTTTAAGATTTAACAATAATTTTATTATAATATTATAATATATCTATTTTTAATATTTTAATATGAATAATAAATTTTTTTGTATAGATTGTCAAGACCATAAATTTGAGTTATTTTTATTATAGCTAGTAGACTAATCACAATAATTTTTATAACATTTTCTATTGCTTAGACATTTTTTGAATAAAGCACAATCTTTTTGAATGTTGAATATAATTCTATTATAAAAAACCTTCATAAAAAAATAGAAATAACAATCTTCAAGAAACTATAATATTAATTTAAACTAAAATATTTGAAATTTTATAGAATCCTCTACAAATAACTTTACATTATTTTACAAAATTTTATGGTTTTTAAAAAATTAATATAGAAAATTAATATAAAAATACTTTATATGGTTTTCTAAAATATAATACATGATGCTATAAATACATACACACACACACACACACACACACATATATATATATATATATATATATAGTTGCATCTTAGTTTTGCTAAAACAAATTATAAAATAATTCAAAGTTTTGACTAATCCTTAGTCTTTACAACAAGTATTGTTGTTAGTACAGCTCTCTTATCATTGTTTGTTAATTTTAACATTTATAAAGTGATACAAAATTATTTTGAAAATAAATAAAAATACACACATGTATAAATTTTTATTTGAGATTTTATGAATTGATAAAAATAAAATTAAGCATAGTGAAAAAATGAAAGAATACACACACACACACATATATATATATATATATATATATATAGAAAAAAATCAATGAAAAAATGTTTTTGGATTCAAATAAAAAAGATAAATAATTGTGCAAAGACTCAAAAAGAATTAATACTACAAAAAATAAAAATAAATACAATAATTAAAAACTCAAGATGAAAAGCAGTGTGATTTAGATTATATTAATAAAACTTCTATCAATACCATTTGCAAAAAATATATATATATATTTTCAAAAATTTAGTTATTTATTACTTGAACCATTAAACAGAAAAAAAAAAAAAAAGAAAAGAAAAATCTAAAAAACATTACCAATCAATCTATTATTACTTTGTAAAAAGTTTTGTAAGAAGTTTCATTGACTGTACTATAGTATTTTACTTTATTTATTATATCTAAAACCAGACACGTCGGTTCAACAATCTAAAAGAAGCTTCTACTAATTGTTCTAGAATATATCAAAAGACTCTAGAGAGACTTAGAAGTGAAGATCTGCAACCACTTTGGTTCACCCAACAAACCGACTATTCGTCAAATTTATTATTCAGCTAAACTTACAACACAATCAACATCGACAAAACAGAAAACTCTCAGTGAGAGTATTGAAGACGTGAGGTTATTTCACATGTGCAGACCCAGTGTAGGTGATGAATCGACCGCACAAACAAGACATGTCTCATGTTCTTACATATATATACACACAAATGAAGTTGTGTATATATATACATATATATATATATATATATATACATAGATATATTGCACTGGGTGAATGAATTAATATACGTAAGTTAAACCGAGAAAGCGTGGCTGGTGCTGAAGCTGGCGGTGAGGTTGCGGCTGGGGCCGAAGAAGGCAACAACATTCGGGGAAGCGAGAAGCAAGATGCTTCGGAGGAAGGTCAGGTCAGCGTGGGGGAGGGGGAGGGGGGAGGGGATGATGAGCAGGCGATGAATGTGCGAGAATCGCTTGTCGACAAATGGCATAGCTCAGCATGCGCATCACAACGGAGCACGGATCAACGTCACTTGCTCATCGAATGAGCGTGACACATGCGTTCCGGGGCACCTGAACTTCAGCGTTCGGCGACGGATCTGCCCTTTTTGAGACGCCTCTTCATTGGCTGGGATCGTCTAGAACGCAAGTCATAACGGTGGATCCCGAGCGTGAGCATGAAAGGATTTCTGACACGTCAGCTCGGGAAATTGTAAGAGGGTTGCGCTGATGTGAGTTCTTGTCGAACATTTTGTTCACTGTGCCAGAATGCTTTTGCCGGTGTCTATTTGATGCGTGACATGTCGATGTGGAGAGGTGTTGTTGTGAGTGTGAGACAGTTTTTGAGACGCTGATGTTGCTTGGGTTTATGTGAATAGTGAAAGGAAGGCCTTTCTGGAGTTCATGTAAGTGGTAATTTGCTGTTTTAAACGGGGGCAGAAGTAGGCAGTCAAGACTACCTATTCGGAGTGATGAAGGTCAAACCCACAGTTTGAAGGAAGCTTCGAGACTTTGCCAGGAAGGCTTGAAGAAAGCTCTTGAAGTGCTTTTCAAGGAGCCGAAACGGGAAAGAAACTTGTGCAGGACAGGATCGGTTTCAAGCACTGACAATGTTCAGTTGTAGACGCGCTCCTGGAGCATAGGTGAGACGGGGATTTGCTAGCAGGTCGAAGTGGTCTCCGAAAGAATGTGCACAAGGTGAGGATCATGCTGGTTCGTGTGTTGTAGCGGTTGTTGTTTCTAGGGGTTCACACCGACCGTTGGTTTTACCGATTTACAGAGGTCTGTCATACCGACTTTGCAATTGGCACGGAGAGTTAGTCAATCGTGGCGCTTGACGAAGCGCCAGCAATCATAGCCCATGTCAAGTACTTTAATGAAGAACGTCTTTTAGTCGTGAATAATTCAAATGGCAACGTGTAGAGCTGTTTGGAGGATGGGGTAGTACGCAGTCGGAGTTGTTGTTGGGTGGAATGGGACCCGCGCTACCTGAAACGACTTAAGCACTTTTGAGTAGTGATACACTGCCAGCCTTTGGTGATGTCGGGAACGAAATCCACTTGCGTTGCTTCCTTCACAAGCTTATCCACAGATTTGAGTTGATGCAGTCTTGGCCTATTGCCGATATTGATCCAGTCAGGTTCTCTTCTCGGTGTTGATTCAGTCTTAGTCCGTTATACGAAGTGAGGGTGTCTTTGCTGTCTAATGATAAGTTCTAATGGGTTTTCTTCGAAACTGTTTAAATTTAAACTGAAGAAAATTTCTGAATTGTACCACAACAATGGAAAGGTTGATCGAAACCCCAAGCAAGGTGTAGTTGGCGAGACTGATAATCTGTCCAAGTCAGAAGTTACAAAAGCATTAACAAACACTAACATAAAGCACTAATATTTGAGTGTATAATCAAAGCTTTGACTGGGAACAGTTAGAAGGCACCCTGAAATGAATTGCGCTTGTTTTCGTGCAGATCAACGAGGAGAAGCAATTGTGTGGGTACTCGTCGATTTGAGATAGAAAAATCATGGGAGATATAGGAGTCATTGACGATTTGTCCCTGGATCATCTTCCAGAATGGACCAACTTGAATGAGCTTCTGGCGGCAATTGAGGCGCAGCTAGGAAGACAAGTGCGCGACCAGATCGAAAACGCACTGGGTCGTGATCCTGACGAGATGATTAACGTGCGGGTGCTTCTGTCAGATATTCAGAATGAATTGGGCGGCTCTTACTTCGTCGATCTACTTCAAGATGAGGATGGAGAGAGTGGGCTAACCACCCAGGAATAAACAACTTTTAGAGGAGCTATTTGTGGCCGATTGTTTCTTCTGCTGCAGGGTGATTGCGAAGACATAAGATCTCAAGGTATTATAACCACTCAACCTTGTAGTTGACTTGTTCCCAACTACTGGCGCATGTAGAAAGTCGTGAAATCTTTATCTTGTTTCACCACAACAGTAAGGATTTGTACGATGTTCAAAATCTCTTAGAGACAAATCCCTTGGTTTCAAAAGATTACTCTGAATCATTTCAACCAGTTTGGCACAATAGCTGACGTAAACATAGATGCGGATGCTGCGTTCAGTGCATGAAATAAGTCGTTTAAGCCATTCCACAAGGTCTAGTAGCTCCTTTGAGGTTCTGTTTGACAGACATTTTGAAAGGTCAAATGCACCTATTTACCCTATTTGTAATCTGGAATCAGAACATGTAATGGGAATAGAAACCAGGCATCTAGCTTACGCGTTGGAAACTCGATTTATTATTAAGTCTTGAAATTTATAAAATGTATTGTGAATGCATTTTTATCAACTGTTGCCTGCATCAAGTTTTCAAAAGAACAAGATGGACATGAGATTGTGGTTTATTAATTCATTTACTGTATAAAAACATTCAGTTAGATTCCATTGTTAAGATTTTACAAGTGTGTTATGCTCTCAAAGTTTACATTCGCTATCTCAGCTCTTTCTGAATGGTAATACTGAATGGTGGAGACTTCAAGGACCCACTGCAGAGGTGTGAATTTTCTAGCAAAGTATGGCGCCCCGTCAAGACGTGTAATGGTTGTACGAGTTGCTTCGATGTCATCACTGGTCTATTTCTGTTTGCATACGCTTTATTCCTCTGTGTTAATAACGCAAACAAGATCAATCAACCCTTAATGAGTACTTTCTACGATGTAGCCAAATAGTTGGATAGGCATAGAGAAACAAAAGCATAGCCGCATTTTTCCTCCTCCAGAGAGAAAATGCAGCCATTTCTTTGAAGAACATCGGCTGTCTTTCCACAATTTAAACAGCATCGACTTCCTCCACTGATCTTTGCCAACACTACCGCTGCGAGGAACCATCCACGACAATTAAATTTGTAAGTCGGTTGCTACACCTTGCCCAAAAATAAGTATAACAATTGTTTATCAGCTGGAAAGTTCAACGCAGGTCTCCGGTGACAAAAGTTCATGAAAGTTACTTCCGGCCGCAAAAGCTTGCGCAGCCATCGAGCCAGCCTGTCTTTGGAAATCCCTTCCATATGCCAGATCTTCCAATTCAGTTGCGCATGCTTTCACCTGGCAAGCGTACATTGTCATGAGATTCCGTAAGTAGTTTACTGTCATCTGTTCTTAGAAGCAGGCGATGTTGAAACTGTGGGTAGCTATGTGGAGAAATCACAAAATCTTCACCAAAATGTAGAAACAGCTGTTGGAATCGTCATTTTAGAACTCACAAGACCAAGAGTGATGAAGACCTTTATATTGAGGCTATTTTACACGAATCTCAGTGAAAACACATGAGGAACCGTAGCTTCGTTGAGGGGCCAGCAATAGAATCTCCTCACTTGGCCTCCAACTCGGACGACTGAACGTCCGTCCTTCTGATGGCACTAATCAATCGATGCGGGCTTGAATAACGCAAGCCAAGCGCTTTCGTGAAATTACATGAGAAGTGCGGGCGAAATTTTGCCGTTCATTGCAATTGCTTCACGTATTTCAAGTAGGTTTGCTGAAAATTACATGAAGTGGGTTGCTGAAACAGATTGTATAACTAGCTTTAGTGGTGAAGTTATATAGAACTTGACTGCTATGGTTGGGTAGTGTAATAACGGAAGATCTCTACTGAGGTTTCAATATTTTATTCAGGAACGTCGTGCTGGTTGGCTGACGATTTTACGGTTAATCGTTCTGTGTACAACTTGTCGTCCACAGAAGCAATCTTTCGTCCACTTTGGTTCATGTTTTTGCCTGGATTGATGCCTTTGAGGGTTGTGAATTTTGTTTTCGATGCCACTTTGGCTCGTTCGAGTAACTTCAACAGCTATTCTATTCAGCACTTTGCACCAATTCTCTGCTTTTTTTGAAGCGTGGAGACACTCTACGCAAATGGTACACGATGTTTGATTTTTGTAGGGCACAGAGTATTAGGGTTGGCAAGGCCCGTATTGAACAATGTGAAAGGACTCTCTGTTATTTTTATTTGTTTGTTTTTGTTTTGTTCCCTCTTTGACAGCGAAGATGGGTTTCGGTGAAGGGCCTTGATCGGAAAGGTGAGACTGAGGTGACAAACTTAAGAGTTTCAGCGACATTAGTGCTTGTTACGCAACATGGGCATCAACGGGAAGCGCTTCCGCAAGCGTGACACACTAGAATCAGAGGATCAGTCTGACGATGAGGACGAAATTAGGTATAGTGATGATCATTTTGGGGTCTGTTCATGCGGTGCTGATTCTGACTGGGTTTCTCAAGTAAGCTTTGTGATATATAGTCGTTGAATCTATTGATTGTTGATGGCGAATTTTGCAGATCCACATTAGAGGAGGTGAAGTTTTTGCAAAAGCAGAGGGAACGAAGCAATGGGGTTGTAGCGAATCAGCTTGGACAGCCTGCAGGAGGAGCGAATTCCAATGTTGCGGAGAAAGGCGAAGGCGAGGGTGAGAACGAAGAGCAAGTGCTGCAAGATACATTTGCACAAGAAACTGCTGTGACTATAGAAGACCCTAACATGTGAGTACATCATTATCTGTGATATCGTATGAGTATTTAAAGTCATATATATATACTTGTTTGAAACTCTACTTGAAGACAAACTGGAGGAGAAAAAGCTATAATCCCATTGTTAGCCATAGCTTAATATGGAGTGGATTGCTATTTGGATTTCCTCATACTGGAATTGTGATAGGTTGAAGTATATTGAGCAGGAGATGGCAAAGAAGAGGGGAAGGGAGACTAGTGAAGTAGGAGAAGAAGTGAAACCTCCCGAAGTTGATCTTTACGTGATACCTGAGCATCTCAAGGTGTGCTCTTGATGGATGCGTGCACACAACTTTGCACGATATCTTTTCTCAGTTCTGGGTTTCATGTGTCGAATACACTCGATAATGAATACTCCAACTACGTCCAAGTGATAGCTCGGTGTTCTTTTCTCACAATGTCGTATTAGTGATGAGTTTGTGACTTATTTGTTTCTTGAATCGACCAGGTACGAAAAAGGAATGGAGAGGAGAGCTCCACACAATGGACAACTGGAATTGCTGAAGTACAACTACCTGTAGAGTAAGTTATTTTTACATTTTTAAGGTGGAATAAGCTTCATTTACATGCTATAGATCATTTCCACTAGCTTGTTTGAGACTCCTACAAAAAACACCAATGCCGCTCTTGGTACAGGTATAAGCTCAAAAACATTGAAGAAACCGAAGCTGCAAAGAAGCAACTACAAGGCAAGCGTCCATTTGTAGGTCGTGGCCGATCCCAGTCCAGCATACCCGCCAGCTACAACGCTGACTACTTCCAACGAGGCCGGGAGTATGCTGAGAAACTTCGAAGTGGTATGCAAACGCACATGCTCATGAAGAATATACAACTAGGTTTTGTCAAACTAGATTTATGTTTCAAAGTTGTTTTCATGGAAGCTTATCTGATCTTATCTGATTTGGAGAATCGTGACCTTATTCGTGACCATATCCTTGTAAACTTGGTTTCGAACAGATCATCCTGAAGGCTACAGAGACAAAGGAAGAGGTGAAGGACGAGGACGAGGACGAGGTGGACCAACTGGTTCTAAAAGCGAGACATATGATGTAAGGAATAGGAGGCAAGCTGCTACTGATGAGATAATGTTAGAACGTTTTAGGAAGAGGGAAAGAAGATTGTTGAGAAGGTGACTTGGACTTGCTGTAGCTGTGCCCTGTAGTAATTCTGGAAAAATCACCACTTGCAGGATAGTCTGTTACCTTTCCATGTTTGAATGCTTGTTTGACATGGGTGACAGGAAATGTTTTCACACATCTGCCTGGCCCTTTCTGGTCATTTTAATTTTGTTACTATCTAACGTTTGTTTTCACAATATTTACACGAACGAGAAGGGCTCATCCGTTTATTGCCCATGGGCAATGGTTCCTTCTCATCTTTGTGCAAGAATAAGATAAAACTTTGGAGGTACTAGCTAGGCACTCGTGAGGTAATTGTTGTAGCTAAGCAAAGGAATGTATCCAATAATGTGCACATAATTTTTGCTGATGCAGTTGGACTTCTAAATTCTATGTGAACGGCATTTGTATTTCTCTATGACTACAAGAAAATCATAAATTAACCACCGCCACACTCTATGCATTTGGCACATTGAATATTAATGGCAGCCCATGCATTAAAATCTTCTCATAGTTGGATCCAAATTTACAAGTATCTTTTTACATTGTAGTAATCAACAAGCTTGAATATTTTTTTGATATTACTCTTGTTTGATCTAAGTCAATTAAAATAATAGATTTTCAAATGAAAGATATTAGTATATATTTAAATTTTAAATTTAGATACTAATTAAAATTCTATTAACCAATAATCAATTGAAATTTTAATAATATCATTATATATTCAATAAAGAAGGATTATAAAATTATCCAATAATGTATTATATTCAATCCAAAACTTGATATTACAAAAAAATTAATATAACTTTTAATAGAAGCCTACAAAGGACAAATTAAGGCCACTAAAAAAAAAAAGAATAATTACAATAAAAAGAACTTATATTGATTATTTAAGTTTTCAAATATTTGTTCTTAATATATACTTTGTTGCTACTATTAGAATAGTGTTGTGGACATTGACATTTTGTAAATTCTTAGCTTAATTTATCTTTTATGATAATATAAGAGCCTATTGTCTCTTTAAAGTTTTTTCTAGATTCATATCCTAAACTCTTTTTAAATACACCTTATATAATAAGTTCTCTTGTTCAATCTAATCTAATTAATTATCTTTATATTTAGTCTATTTCTTTTTATATCTATCTATGACTAAATTTCTATTTATTTAATTTAAAATTAATTTAAAATTTTTATTTTTTAAATCTAATATTTAATATAAATAGCTACAAGTCTAAAACTTTATGTAATGATATACATAAAATAAAATAAAATAAGATAAATTATGGAAATATTGTTGTATCTAAATTATTGAACAATCTATTTTACAACGTTATTAATGACATGAAATTAAACTATTGAATATAAAATATTTAAACTTTTTAAATTAATAAATAAATATTTATACTAAAAATAATATTAATTAAAATTTCATTTGTTTAAGATCTAAATATGTGGATTGAATCTACAAAAACAATGATATGACTAAAAATCAAATATAATATGAATGTACTTAGTTACATAGCTATATGTTTGTTATGGATATACACATGTAAATCAATAATTACCTATATGATTTAGATAATAATAGGTAAAAATAAGTTAATTCCATAATATCTTCTATAGAAGCTTCTTAGAAGGTTCATAGACACTATTTTGACTTTATAGGTGTCTTTAATTGATTTTTTAGGTTAGAAACGTGGTCAACAAGTTGGCCATGTCCCACACATATTGATAGCTTGAAGAACAAGCAAACTATGTAGCCAACACATAAAAAACTTGCCTTGTAAGCTAAGGCATGTATCCTGCAAAGTCAACACATATTAGAGGTCCTATAGAACATTGTCACGTAACTCCTAGTTAGATAGTATATATAGAAGCAAGAGTGAAGCCCTCTTCACTCTTGTCAATTCTTTTCTTGCTTCTAGTCTACATTTAAGAGTCTCTACTTTCCTTATCTTTTGGCAATAGCTATTCGAGTTTTTTTTTTTAATATACATACTACTTTATTGCTATTTCGTCACTTTTCTTTTAACACAAATATTTCAGGTTTATGCATCTTCTTCTAGTTCATGTCCTTGACAGATTGACAAGAAATCACTTACAATATTAGAGCTTTGTCTTTTCTTGATTAAGAGTAGATTATCTCTTTTTCTTGAAAATATATAAGCATATTAGAAGTTACCAATTATCCTCTTTTAAACTAGTATTGTTGTTAGTATCTTTTTTATTCTCAAGTCCCTTCTTTTATTATCTTGAGTAATATTAGATATTTATTTTTTAAGTATTATCATGGTAGAGCTTGTTAAAATGAAGAATGCAATGGCATAAATACAAGAGCAATTGAGGGAGTTAATACTTGCAATGCACCAACTCAATTTATCACGATAAGAAGCAACATGAATGGAAAGAAGTGATGATATAGATATGATTGGAGTTGCTTCAACATCTGTACCTACTAATGTCCCTTCTTCTAAAGTGGAACATCCTTCCGGTATTAGAGAACCAAGAATTGCCTTCCTTGAGAAGTTTGATAGCACAAGATCCAAGTTTCAAGGATGTATCAATCAAGTATAACTTGTGATTGAACTTCAACTCTAGAGTTATCCAACTCCTAAAACACAAGTTAGATTCATTGATACATTTTTTTCAACCTCAACATTATTGCAGTTTTTATCTTTTTTTGAATGATGAGATCTAATATTGGATAATTTGAAGGCTTTTTTAGCAGAGTTTTGATCTATATATAGAGGACATGATGCAACTTGTATTGCAACCAATAAGATCTGTATTTTACGACAAGTCAATCGATCTGTAATATTATATGCTTCTTAGTTTCAACAACTTGTAACTGATATCAAGCGGAAAGATGTTGCACTTATTAACCAATTTCTCTATGGATTACAATATGAAATAAAGAAATTGATGTTCAACTTACTTGATCCTCAAACATTGAGTCAAATAATTGACTTTGCTGTGAAGTGTGATAATTGACTTTTTAAATTTTAATATGAGGGTCAGATAAGTGGGCCTCAACATTATTATATATCATGGACATACGCATGTAAGCCAATAGTTACATATATAAATAGGTAGAAGTAAGTAAAAGTAGGTAAAAATAGATAAAAGTAAGTTAATTCTATAATATTTACTATAGAAGCTTCTTAGAAGCTCCATAGACATTGCTTTGACTTTATAGGTGTCTTTAATTGACTTTTTTGATTAAAAACGTAGTCAACAAGTTGGCCATGTGCCACACATGTTGTTAGCTTGAAAACCAAGCTAACTATGTCACATACACGTAAAAAAACTTGCCTTGTAAGTAAAGGCATGTGTCCTATAAAGTCAACACATATTGGTGGTCATATAGAACATCGCCACATAGTCCCTAATTAGATAGTATATATAGAGACAAGAGTGAAGCCTTCTTCATTCTTGTCAACTCCTTTCTTACTTCCAATCTAGTTTCAAAGATCTCTACTTTTCTTGACTTTTGGCAATAGTCATTCCAATTTCATTCTTAATATACATATCAAGTTATTTCTATTTTGTCACCTTTCTTTGAGAGAAGTCTCACTTATTTATTTGTTTTTATTATGTTCTTGTCTTTAATAGATTGATAAGAGTGCACTTACAAAATCAAAGCTTTGTCTAATTTTGATTAAGAGTGGATTATCCTTTTCTCTTGATAAGACATAAGCATATTAGAAGTTGCGGATTACCTTCTTTTAAATTGATATTGTCCTTAGTATTTTCTTTGTTCTCAAATCTTCTCTTCTATTTGTCTTGAGCGATATTAGATATCTTTTCTTTTGTAAGTATTATCATGGCAGAACTTGCTGAAATGAAGAGTGTAATGGTACAAATGCAAGAGTAATTGAAGGAGTTAATACTTGCGATGCATCAACGTAATTAACATCTACAAGGACCAATAAGATTGACAAGAAGTGAAGATATAGAAATGATTGGAGCTGCTTCAACATCTGCACCAAATCACGTCCCTTTTCCTATGGTGGAATGCCCTTCCGGTATTAGAAAACCATGAATTGCCCTATCCAAGAAGTTTGATGGCATCAGATCAAAGTTTAGAGGATTTATCAATCAAGTACAACTTTTGATTGAACTTCAATCCCAAAGCTATCCAACTCTAGGATTGCAAGTTAGATTCATTCGTACACTTCTTTCAGGTTCAACATTAACATGGTTTTCATCTTTTCTTAAACGATGAGATCCAATATTGGATAATTTAGAGGCTTTTTTGGTGGAGTTTCGATCCATGTATGGAGAACATGATGTAATTCGTGTTACAACCAATAAGATCTGTATTTTACAACAAGGCAATTGATCAGTAACGATGTAAGCTTCATAATTTTGATAATTTACAACTGATATCAAGTGGGATGATGCTGCACTTATTAGCCAATTTCTCTACGGATTACAATATGAGGTAAAAAAATTAATGCTCAACTTACGTGATCCTCAAACATTGAGTCAAGCAATTGACTTTGCTGTGAAGTGCAATAATTATCTTTTTGAATTCCGATCTGAGAACCATATAAGTCGACCTCAATGTTACTATAATTCAATGGCAACACCAATATCTCTTCAACACATACATTCGAAAGTAGAGGATATGCAAATTGATGCAATATGTTTTAAATTTCTTATTGAGTAAAAAAAGACTCGTCATCGTTAAGAAAGATTGTGCTTATATTATGGAGAACCTAAGCACACTGCTCAATATTGCCCAAAGAAGCGACACAACCATAAAATAAGGAGTACGACTATCAAAGAAGATAATATGTCAAAAAACAAATTTGTCCAACTACAATAGGGACTATGCGGCTGGAACCATGTACAACGCCTGGTGAAGGTCCTATCCTCTCTTCAAAACCCTCTCCATGTTTTACGATAAATATTATTGTAGGACCTAAACATCACAAAGCCTCTTCTTTGCTAGATTCAAGAGCCTCAATATGTTTTTTAGATGAAGAATTTGGTAAAAGACATAGCATATTTTTAGTGAAGAAAACTAAACCTATTCATGTAGAAGTCATAGATAGTCGTCCGTTGTCTTCAGGAGATGTTACTCATAAAACCTTTCCTATAGAAATAGCAATTAATGGTCATAGTAGGTTTGTAATGTTTAATATCATTAGATTTCTTTCTAATCCAATCATTTTAGATTTATCATGGGTAGAAAAATATAATCTTAAAATAAATTAGACTTCTCGTAGTCTTGACTTTTTTGAAAGTATAACTAAGAGCGTA